TCAAATATCCATTGCGTTCTTTATTTGTCAGTAATGTGTGGAATAGAAGTAAATGGGCAAACAAACCAGAGGGTTTAAGAGTCTCAAGCACTATTCTTTCAGTTACATTTAGGAAAAATGTAAGGATTGCCCTCTTAGCTTCCCAACTAATTGTGGAGGTCTTACGGTTGGTTAATGGTGATGAAAAACCTATAATGGGGTACTTCCACTTTGCAATGGAATGGGCAAGGGAAAAGATTAAAACAAATTTTGGTGGAAAAGAAATAAAATATAAGCCCATTCTGGAAATTTTTGACAGGCGTTGGAATAATATGATGCAACTATCTTGCCAAATTTTTTCTCAGTGTAGCCCTCTTTTATAAAGCAAAAGCTGAAGATGAAGCATTAATTGTGAAGTTTGAAATAGGCTTTGTAGATTGTATTGAGAGGATGGTGAGTGACATTGAAATTCAAGATAAGATCTCCCATCAAATGGAAGATTATAAGCATGCCCGTGGTGCATTTTCTAAGGAAATGACAATTAGACAACGAGAAACAAAACAACAAAGTAAGATATGCCTCATTACCTCTAGAATCTTATTTTTGTTTTTTTTTGTATTACTATCTTTGAATTTGTATTCTCTAATTTAATTTTTTTATTTGTAATTTATAATTTGTACTTTGTAGTTGATTGGTGGCATACTTATGGGCATTGCACACCATACCTTAGGCATATTGCATTATGCATATATGGTCTTGTGTGCGCTTCTTCTGCCAGTGAGCATAATTGGAGCACTTTTGAGAATGTAAGTAATTTTATTATTTATTAATTGATTTATGAATTCTGATTATAAAAGTTAAAATATTTTATTTTTATACTCTTGTTTTTGTTTGTTATGAATGTAGATTCATACCAAGAAGTGGAACAAACTTGATCAAAAGAGGCTTAACGATATTGTCTTTGTTCAATATAATCAATGTCTTCATGAGAGGTTTTTGATAAGACGTGCAAACCCACGTCAATTTGATCCCATTTGCTTCGATGATGCTGATGAGAGTAGTAAATGGTTGATTGGAAGAGACCCATCAAATGAACTCGTTCATGAAGGTGGTGATCTCACATAAAATGAAGTGGATGAAGCATTAGGAGCAACTGAAGTTGTTGAGGGTGCAAATAGGCTGAGGAGAAGTGCAAATACGGTTTATACACGTGCAAGTAAAAGCGGAGGTAGAGGTGGTCGTGGAAGAGGCGATGGTAAGGGACAAGACAAAGGAAAGAGTGTTGTGCAAGAAGAAGAAGATGATGACTCATGTGGGGTGGAAACATTGAGGATAACGAAGATGAAGATGAAGTTGGAGAACTTGATGGGAAAGATGAAGATGATCGGGATGCAAATGATGTTGATTATGCTATTGATGATGTTGGTGGATTTAATGGAGGGATTGCGGGCTCTTATTACCCAGATACTGAAATTAACTAGATATTTTTCTTTATTGATCATCTATAAACTTCATATTTTGTTATCCTTAATCATTTTGTGGAGATTTTGGAGAATTGGGTAAGTGCCATATTTATTTTTTGTTATGGTTTTATTCATTGCTTGATTTGGTTCCTACTTCCTATCTACTTCCTTTAAATGCCTAGAATAGATAAATTTCAATCTAGGTATGTCATATGTGTGATTTGATTCCTAGTTTTCTACATGATTGATAATTCCTTTTATTATTTGTTCATTTATTGTAAATTTGCAATTCTTTTTATTTAATTTATTAATGTTTTTTTTTTGTGTGTGTTAAAGGAAAAGTGAGAAAAGAGAGCACTCAAGAAGGACAATGCTCAACATTCACTTCAAAGTCAAAGATATGTCTTTGACTCTTTGTGAATTTAATTTTTTTTAATATTTATTACTTTATTATTTTAGTTTAGTTTTTTAGTGTAGTTGCCTTGCCTAGTTGGTTTAGACTCATTTTTATTGATAATATTTTATATTCTTAGTTTTTTATATGAATTTTGTACTCATTTGAATGATTTGTAGTGTTAATAGTTAGTGTACATGATTGATAGTTAGCACACAAAACCAATAAAATGACTTAGAAAAGCATATATAAAGTAAAAACTCAATAAAACAAACATTTTAAAATTCCAACGCCTAGGTGCCCTGAAAACTATGCCCTTGTCCCCCCTACATCTTTGTCCTTTGTGCTGAGGCCCTTTCTAGCAACCTTAATATGGAGGTTGAATGTGGCGCTAATGATGTGGGTTGTAAAGCTTCTAGGGGAGGTCCGACAATTCCAATTCTTCAGTTTGTAGATGATTGCATTATCTTTGCAAAGGCCCCAATCAATGATTGCCACAAAATCAAGGAGATTTTGGATAACTTTGCTAAAGCTTCGAGCCAGCTTCCTAATTATCTTAAGTCGGCCATTACCTTTTCCAAAAACCTCCCCTTTAGACTCCATAAAGTGATGGCTTGAATTCTTAAAATTCCAATTGGAAATAGGAATAAGACTTATCTTGGAGCCCCTATTATTGAGGGGATGGTTTTAAAGGATGCTTTCTAATTTTTGAAAGAGAAAATGGCCAACAAGCTTGCAGGTTGGAAAAAGCATTCTCTCTCACTTGCAGAGAGAATAATGCTACTTAATTCTTCTACATCTGTGGTCCCTCAATTTGTAATGCAATCTTTTAGAAAAAGTCATAAGGGATTTCCTTTGGGCAAAAGAGAGGAGCCGAAACCCCATTCATCTTGTTAAGTGGAGTAGAGTTTGTACTCCCAAAATGTGAGGTGGGTTGGGTGTGAAGAACTTCAAATGGCTAAATAAAGCTTTTCTTGCTAAATTAGGGTGGAAATTTTTAAATTGTCACGATAATCTATGGGTCAAGGTTGTGAGTAATAAATATCCTATGAATAGTAATTTATGGGATGAAAATAAGAAGAAAAACTAGTCTTGGGCCTAGAAAGGTATAATGGATTCAAGAGATTTTATTAAAAGGGGTGTTATGTAGAGGATTGGCAATGGTAAGAGTGTGAATTTTTGGTTGGATTCATGGGCTGGGGAAGGCCCGTTGATTGAATTAAGAGACAATAGTGATCTTACTAATGTGGATATGACGGTTAGTAGAGTAATTGGTTTTGAAAGAAAAATATGGGAAGAGGATTTCATTATTTTGATTGCCAATCATTAAGGTTGGCAACTTATAAAGCCTATCTTAATTCCCCATGGGGATCTTGAAGATAAAAGAGTTTGGAAGTTCACTCCTGATGGGAACTTCTCTGTTAAATCGACGTATGAGGAGGAGTGTCATTTTAATGGTAGTGCAGATCCTGCTTCTAACTTTCAAAATAATTATTGGAAGCTCATGCTTCCCCCAAAAATTAATTTTTTTTTCTATTCTTTATGCTAAATAATAGACTTCCTACAAAAAAAAAATCTCATTTCTAGGGGTTTTGGGATAGATCCTGCATGTGCCTTTTGTGGGGAATTAGAAAATATTGACCACCTTTTTATTGACTATAATGTGGCTAAGCAAGTTTAGAGTCACCTTTATGGGGGATTGTGATTCCTGTGGGCTGATGGTGGGCTAGTCTTAGCAAACCTATTGGTAGCTTCAATGACAACTACATTAGAGAAAAATTTGCTTGTGTCTATTGGTTCATTTGGAAAGAGGTTAAAGAGGTATTCTCTTGTATGGTTAACAATAACAAAAAACTCTTAACTCACATTGAGTGGTTTAGACCCAAACATAACTACATCAAGATTAACCTTGATGCTTCTTGCTCGAATTTTGGTAACTGTGCCATTGGGTGTATAGCTCAGAACCATCAAGGCAAAGTCCTAGAGTTTAAAGCTATAGAAATTGGAATGTTGACTATCAACTAGGGGTGTCAATGGTATTCATCCAATTTCGAATTTGACATTTGACATAATCAAATCGTATTCGGATAATTCGAATATCTAACTGGTCGTATTTGGATATCCTATTCTTACTGAATAGTCAATCGGATTTGAATTCGGATATGACCTGATTCGATTTGATAAATATTCGAATTCGACCGATTATTTAATTCTTATATATAATATATAAAATATTTTATATAATAATTAAGTCATATAAATAATTTATATACTTTATATCAATAAAATATTTATTTTATATATTTTTTAGTTATCTAAAATAAATAATTAATTAAATTCAAATTAAATCGAATATTTAAATATTTAATTGGATTCAAATTCGAATATTAATTTTCACTATTTATCGGATATCGAATTGAATTCGGATATTTGATTTTCTAATCGGATTTAAATTCGGATATTTGCCTAATCCGATTCGAAAATCCTACTATCAACCTTGCAGAAGCTTGAAAGGCCATTAATATTGTTATTAATTACATGGATCAGAAAATCCTTATTGAAGGAGACTCTAAGTTAGTAATCGATTTCCTCAATAGAACACTATCGCCTCCGTGGAGAATGAAAAGTGTCACCAAAGAATGCCAGAACCTAATTGGCTTCTTCAATTTAAATATCAAATTCAAGTACGTGTGCCGGAAAGCAAATCAAGCGACAAACTGGTTAGCTCGTAAAGCTCTTAATAGCTGGGAGTGTAATAGAGGCTTTAGGTATTGTGATTTTCTTTTTATTTGTAATGCTGATGTAAGGGGAAGAGCTACCCCGGGTTTGTGTAGCTCATCTTTTGCCAATAAAAAGCCCAATTATGAATTATCCCTAACATTTTTTCCGTACATCGCACGAGGCACTAGTTCATACTTTTAAACCCTTAGGCATGGTAGGGGTGATCATTTCTAGTCGAGGTTGACCCCAAAATTTTTGGGTTTGGGCCAAGGTTTTCTATCAACCCTTGGTTTAAGCCTAAACCTGAAAATTTGTGTAATACATACATGGGTACACTGGTACAGTATATATTTAAAGTTGCAGGCCCGGCTAAAAAACAAAGAGTTGCAGGCCCAAAAGCCCGGCCCAGCCTGGGCCCGCGCCGGTGCTAAGCCCGGCAGGCGGCATATGATTACCCGCGGGCATCTCTTCTCCCTCAATCAAAGCTATACAAAGGGAAAGGGGAAAGCAAAAGAGGAGGAAGAAGGAAGAAGGAAGAAGGAAGAAGGAAGAAGGAAGCGCCAGAGGAGGTGCGAGGGACGGGGGCCGGCTCCTCGTTTTTTTAGATGCAATTGTTGTTCCAAGAATCAAAAGAAGTGGGTACTCCCCCCATTTCATGGCCGCAAGGCCTCTGCGTTTAATTCCGGAGCATCGACTATTCTTCATCTCTCGTTCGGCGCCTCTATCTTCACGTGCTCCTTCTCCAGCGTTTACAAAAAGAGAAACTGCGGCAACACCTTTTCTGTGCCTTCGTAGGATCGCCTGCGGGGCTCCACTCACCAATCCAGAGCAACAACACCCGTCATATCACCACCGTCTATCGACTCTAGAGGAAAACCTGGCGCAGAAGATCGGCAAGTCCATCCGTAGGCCTGGTGCCAGCTCTAAGGCTAGGGTTTATGCCGACGTTAACGTTATCCGTCCCAAAGAATACTGGGATTATGAGTCCCTTACAGTTCAATGGGGGTACATACTAACACCCAATAAAAGAAAGAGGAACCCATTATCACGCTTGTTTATTTCGTGCTTAATTTTCTTTTTCTATTTTTCTTTTTCTTTATCAGGGAGCAGGACCATTATGAGGTGGTGAGAAAGGTGGGAAGAGGGAAATACAGTGAAGTTTTCGAGGGTGTTCATTGTACCAACAACGAACGCTGTATCATTAAAATTCTCAAACCCGTAAAAAAGAAGAAGGTGAGCTACAGCTTACTGCATATCTGGTCTCTCTTAAAAATGTAATTTCCCCTTTACGGTTTAATTGTTTAGAGGTTGCTTAACAAGGAACTCTTTTCTTTGTTATTTCATTGATACAATGCTATTGCTCCCAAAATTATATAAAATGAAACCCTTTCTAGCAGGCCTGCCGTAGTTTGGACTTGGAGTTGGCGTGGTTGAAGAATTGGAGTAGGTCTGTAAAGTGTAAACGAGTTTAAATGAGCTGCATTTCTGTCCATTTGAAATGTTTGGGCGTCAGCAATCGCATTTGAAATTGAAAAGGAAAGATGGGAAGTCCAATGAAGGGAAATTGCGTTCATCTGAAAAATAAGAAAAATGTGGGCTCTTACCTCAGACCAACCCCCAATCGCAGGGGTGGGGTGGGGAGCAAGTATACTGAATGCTAACAATGCCATTAGATTACCAGAGTTCTTAAGAGAAGCTCTTGATGAATGCCAAAAAAAAAAAAAAACTGCTAGAGTTCTAAGCCCTGAATTGTTTTTAATCAGTAATAGATCAAAAAGTTCTCTGATTATAGAGAAAATAAGGGAAAGTATCCATAAAAAGCAAGAAATTAGTATAAAAGAAAATACCAAACCCCTAAAAAAACAGAATTAGCCTGGATATGCCAATCTTCTCCATTTTCTGTAATACCCAAAAACTCGAAGCACAAGGAATAATTCTTTTACCCTGGGGGGTTAGGTTCCCAATACATGCCAGTATAACTGCCCTTCCCCTTGCTAGTGAATCATCCAAGGAATTAGCTGATCTTGTTACCTATATGAATGAGATGTTCATTTGGTTAGTTTTTCTCCTTTTCCCCTAGCTTCTTGAATCAGGGGAGATAGTTGCTAAGGACCTAGATTATTTGTCTCCATATGGTCTGCTACCATGTCAAAAGTCAGAACCATCCTCAATGACTAGTTTGTGATATCATGGTGTCTTGCCCATGCATAGCCCCTGCAGAAAAAAAAGGAGAAAATAAAATAATGCAGCTTTGATAGAGTTTAGAGTTTCCAATGCCTATTGGTCTCGGATAGATTTTCAAAATCTCTCCATGGTGATTCCTAAAGGTGCCATCCACTCCTGAAGCTTCTGGATAATACTATCTACTACTTACTACGTCCATCAAAATTAAACTTGATGAAGTTTAGAGGTGGTGGTTGCATTCCTGTTATGTTGGACAATTAGAAGTCTTCTAGTGGAAGACAATCAACATTTTGTCACTCCCTATGATGTCATTAGTGCTGAAAGGATGACACTCATCCAAAGTTTTAACCTAATGCATCACACACCAAATGAAACCAGCTCATTCAAGGCTTCCATCAAATGGGGGGCCCTTTGGATCAGCTCCATGTTCACTCCCCTGATTCTATAAATCTTTCTCAACTAATGATGGCTATTCAAAATTTTGTTTATTAATTTAATTAAAAGATGGTTAATCTTAGTGGGGGAAATATATTCTTTTTTTTTGAAGATTACAGTAACAGATTTTATTAATATGAACAGGAGATAATGTACACAAATAGCAACCCACAGGGAAATATGTTATTACTTCAGCAAGATGTTTAATCTTAGTTGTTGCTACCCGGGTTACTTGGAGAATCATCTGAAGGCATGGAGAATGAAATCAGGGGCCTCAGCAGAAAAGGGAGATTGCTGTGGAGTGTGGAGTACTATTCTGGTAGCTATATTGTGGTGCATCCGGAGAGAAAGAAATCAGAGGATATTTGAGACAAAATTTCAATCAGTAGAAGTCATTAGAAAAGTGATAGGGACTGTTCATTCATGGGTGGCTTGCAACAGATTATTTTGTAATGCACCCTAAAATAGCTTGCTTAACCTTTTGTATGGTGACTCACTGTACAGAGATATACTTGTACATGATTAAAGTCAATGAGTACAATACCTTATCTTCCTCTCAAAAGAAAATTATATTATTAATTTTAAAGATGCCTAGAAAGAAGGATTTATATTAAACAAATGGTAAGCCATTCTCAGCTGAAATATTTTCATCCAAATTTTCTTGTAAATGGATGTTTCAGTTGTGTTGTTTAGGGTAGTTTAAGTGGCATGGAGATCTTCCATGCATGATTCTCAATATCATTGATATTTGGGAGAATCTCCCCATTTCCCCAGGGGCAATACAAAGTATTCTAAGAATCTTTTCCCCTCAGATCTTTTTTATGTTGCCAATATATTGGAGATATTTTGAATTTCATTGATAATTAAGTATCTAAGTGTCAAAATTTTAGAATTAGAATATCATAAAATCTTTTTGACATTTTGTTAAAATCATTGAAAATTTTTGAAAATCTTCTCCCAAAAGAATAAATGGGATACTATGTTCGGATTGACTTACTATTTTAATTGTGACTCAACTAAGTCACTACAATTCCAAAAACAGAAAGAAAGAAGACACAACTAGAAACAAGGATTCTCAATCTAATCAAAACATATATCAACTAAAAAGGCAAATCATAATGGAAAGTAGACGAAAAGATGGATAAAAGATTGAAAAGGAGATAGAGGGATACTTTATTAACAAATTCCATATTTTTACTAATTTCCCCTGATTTCATTAGATTTTCTAAATATCTTAGCAGAATTAGTGAAATACTCTGAAATTTCTCCATTTCTACATGGCTTTGAATGTGCATCACTATCTAAATTGCAAGCCATTCTTCCGTGGTAATGTATTTGTCACATCCCAATCCTAATGAAATCCTTTACTCATTTGGCAAGTTTCAACCCAATAGTCTTCGCAATCAATACCCTTTTTGGACATTTTTGAATTAAAAAGTTGAAGATCTTTTCTTTATTTTTTATTTTAATTTTGATCTATTAGTAAAGGCAAGCTTCAATACAAAGTGAAATATATGGCTGATGTCAACAGGGACTCGGGGAGAGTGAATGCATGTGAATGTTGTGTGTTGGGGGGATGCATTTGTTTTTCTACCTTCTAGATTGGGAGGGTGTAGGATCATGAAACAAGTGATATTATCTCACTGTTAGACTTGTTATTTTCTGTTCATTCATCTTGACCTAATCATTGAGGGTGGCCAAAAACGGTTTCCTGAACCTCAAGTTACCTTCTCTTGTTCTTTCCCTTTTGAGTCTTGTTGCTGGTCCTCCACAGAACAGGAATTTCTAAGTGAAACAGTATGGTTCACCCCAATTTTGCCAAGATTGAGGGCATTTTGCTAAGAAAGATGTTCCAGATGAATGTTTGCACCTGTTAAAAATCTAGATGCAAGTGGCTGTTGGAGGGGGATGGAAATACAAAATTTTTTCACTCCTTAACAAATGGGAGAAGAAGGAAAAACAAATTGTCGGGCTAGAAGTGGATGGACAAGAGGTAACTAGGGAGGTGATTATCAAGGTTTTTATGGATCATTTTAAGAAGATTTTCTAGAGTCAAGGTGGGAGGAGTTTTTCTCCCCCAGATGTTCAATGGTTTCGAGTGCCTGAAGATATGGTTGCAGCCTTATAAAGGGAGTTTTCGCTAGAAGAAATAACAGAGGTAGTATTCTTAGTGGAAAGGTCTAAAGCTCCTGGTTCGAATGGTTTCTCTTTAGCATTTTATCAGGAGTGTTGGGAACTTATCAAAAGAGATTTGATGGAAGTTTTCAACGAGTTTTACACAGAAGGGGAAATCTCTCAAGGTATAAATTCAACTTTCATTGCCCTCATCCCCAAAAAGAAGGAAGCAAAACCTCCAAAGGATTTCAGACCAATAAGCTTAGTAGGGAGCCTCTATAAGATTATAGCAAAGGTTCTTGCTGGGAGACTTAAAAAGGTACTACCTTTGGTGATCTCACAACAACAAGGTGCCTGCATTGAAGGAAGGTAAATTATTGAGAAGGTGTTAGTAGCAAATGAATGTGTATTAGAGAAGAGGATGAGGAAAGGGAGGGGTGTGGTATGCAAGTTGGATTTAGAGAAGGCTTATGAGTTATGATTTTGTGGGCTGGTCTTTTCTTCTAGAAATTATGGGGAGAATAGGGCTAGGGGAGTGGTGGAGGATGTGGATGATGGGATGCCTTAGTTTAGTGCAATATTCAATCATGATCAATAGTGTGGCTAGAGACTACTTTCTAGCAAAAAGAGGATTGAGGCAAGGGGATCCCCTTTCACCCTTTCTGTTCACTTTAATTGCTGATGTCCTAAGTAGGATGATTATGGAGGCTGATCAGAGAAATCTTTTTAGAGGATGGAGAGTAGGAAGGCTTGAGGTGGCAGTTAAACGTTTACAATTTGTAGATGACACCATTCTATTATGTGAGGGAGGAAATCAAGAGAGCATAAGAAATCTACATGAGCTCATCACTTCCTTTGAATCGCTCTCTAGATTGAAGGTAAATTGGGGGAAAAGTTGTATAATAGGGATTAACTTAGAAGATGAAAGTTTGAGAGAACTAGCAGAGATTCTAGGGTGTGAAGTAAAAAAATGGCCATTAGAGTACTTAGGATTACCGTTGGGAGGGAATCCAAGATCAGAAGACTTCTGGAAGCCATTAGTGGAGAGGTTTACAAGGAAGTTGGTACTTTGGAAGAGAAATTGTTTATCCATAGGTGGGAGAATAACCCTAACTAGAGCAACTCTAGCAAACTGCAAACCTACCAGTATATTTCCTTTCAACTTTTAGAATCCCAGCTAGAGTGGCAGGACATTTAGAAAAACTTATGGGGGATTTTCTTTGGGAACTTGGGGAGGAAAAGGGGGATCATCTAGTGAAGTGGGAAAAAGTCTGCAAAACAAAGGAAAAGGGAGTCTTAGGACTAGGGAGCTTAGTTCACAGGAATACTTCCCTGTTAGGAAAATGGCTTTGGAGGTTCCCATTGGAAAGAGAAAGGCTGTGACATAAGGTGATAGAAGGCATTCATGGGCTGGTGAACAATGGATGGGATTCAAAGTTAGCCCCCACATCTTCTTCGTGCTCTCTGTGGAAAGCAATACAAGAGGTATATCCTATCTT